TAAATTGAAAAAGTTTAATTTTCCACTTTACATTATGAAATTAGTTCAAAATTATTTAACTGACAGAACTCTGCAGGTAAATTATCAAAATTCCAAATCTAATCGACTACCTGTTAGAGCAGGAGTTCCTCAGGGTAGCATTCTTGGGCCTATATTGTATAACATTTTCACTTTGGACCTCCCTGATTTGCCTCAGGGTTGCCACAAATCTTTGTTCGCTGATGACACAGGCATTTCCGCTAAAGGAAGAAGTCTTCGTGTTATTTGCAGCAGACTGCAGAAAAGTTTAGATATTTTCTCTTCTTATTTACAAAAATGGAAGATTTCTCCCAACGCTTCCAAAACTCAACTTATAATATTTCCACATAAGCCCAGGGCTTCCTTTTTGAAACCTAGTAGTGTAGTCACATAGTCACTATGAACGGAGTTCCAATTTCCTGGTCAAACCAAGTGAAATATCTTGGATTAATACTTGACCATAAATTAACTTTTAAAGATTACATTGAGGGCATTCAAGCCAAATGTAACAAATATATAAAATGTTTGTATCCTCTTATAAACAGGAAATCCAAACTTTGCCTGACGAATAAACTTCTAATATTTAAACAAGTTTTTAGACCGGCCATGCTTTACGCTGTACCAATATGGTCTAGTTGCTGCACTACCAGGAAAAAAGCACTTCAAAGGATTCAGAACAAAATTCTGAAGATGATTTTGAAGTTGCCTCCCTGGTACAGTACTACCGAAGTACATAGAATTTCGAATGTTGAGACTTTAGCACAAATGTCCAACAAAATAATTAATAATTTCCGGCAAAAATCGTTACAATCCTCAATTGCAACGATTAATTCCCTTTATACTTAGATAAGATTTAGTTTTAGTTATTTAGTTTTAAGCTATCAATTGTTATACTGACATGCAGGTTTAAAAAACCTGTTTAAAATACTGAATTGCCAAGACAGGAACAATGTAAAAACACTTAGATATATATCATAACAATTAAGGCTGGTAAGTTACTGTAGCACCTAGAGCACCTAGGTTAAAAATGAAATGTAATTTATTTTGAATTTAGAACAAATAAAGAGTTAAAAAAAAAAAAAAAAAAAAAAAAAAAAAAAAAAAAAAAAAAAAAAGGTATGCATCCGAGTGCAATAACATAGTTGAGTCTTGTGGGGAAAATACATTACGATTTATCCCAGGCCAATATTGTAGAAAATTGTGCCTGTTAGATCTTGGGCGGCTCGCTTTGGAATATTTAGAAAAATATAGTACACGCGAGGGGGACGACTCTATCTACGATGCAGAAAAGATTGTGTATTGCTGTGGTTAGCTGCGCTCACGCTGAATAGATAGAAAGAAGATTGATGACGATTCTGAAGATTTCCTGCAAAAAGATGATGCGCGATGCAAGTAGATGCGAGAAATGAAAGAAGATTTTGCGAAGTTTGATTCGCTAGTGTGAGATTTGTTGAGCATCTAGACTTGAGATTTAGATGTGTCGCCCCCCTCGAGTACACGCCAGTTTAGGATACATTATTGACTGCTCTCGAGAACGTAATTTCATTTTAATATCTTGTTTAATAAGGGCCTTAACAATCGTTACGTCGGACATAGCTTGTTATGATGTAAGAGGCATGATAACCTACGTAAAGAGCAAATCGAAAAATTGAACGTCGCGTGAAAGCGGAACTCAATGAAGGCCTAAGTGCTTTTTCGTAGCATTTAGTTGAAAGATTGTCGGTTGCAGTAGCTTGCTTACTGAGCAGAAAAACTAGGGCGCAGGTTCTTTTCAAATTAAACAAATTATGGTCAAATCGCTTGGTTATCGTGTATTTTGCGAAACTTGTCCTCGTCGGTGTCGGATTTGAATAGTTACAACTCGAGTAAAGATATTATGTGATATGAGGGGCTCGGTGGCATTAGAGCGATCGTTTTTTCTTACTGAGGAGAACATCATGAGTCTAGTCTCAGGCCCATCCACATTAAAGATTCGCCAATCACTTTATTTGTTAATATGACTACATGGTAATAATAGCAACTCGATGATTGAAAAGGAGCTGGTTTGGCTAGTGGCAAACTTTTTTGCTTACTGAGCAGAAGATCGTGGGTTCAATCCCAAACTCCTTCGCGTTATATGATCGTTAGGACAATAATTCAGCTTATCGTTTACCAAAACGAACCCTGCTACAATCCCAACCCTCTTACCCATTATCCCAGTGATTCCTCGTGGAAGTGCTTCTATCAAAGCGAGTGTAACGTCAACACATTCCTACCCATTCTTGACCTGTGTTCGGGCGCGGCCGGCGGTGGTATTGCCTAGTTTGAAATCACCAGTTTTTACCGGATTTGAGGATGATTACTAGTCGCAAGCATAGTCTTTTGGTTCTCTGTGTAATTACAGCTGATCTGGCAATAACAGAGTAGCAACAGTGGGTAGTCAATCATGCTCATGCTCATGCTCGTGCGAAGGTTGTCGATAATTCCGGTCATATTATGAAATAACTTGGAAATTCAACTATTCTAACTCCAAACTTATTTACATTGTAGTGTTCATGCGAAAAAGGAAGCTGCTTCGTTGAAAAATGAAAAGCATCAAACAATTTCGTACCGATTTCAAGTTGTTTCATAGAAATCGATCAAAAAATGACGAAATGAGAGCAATGTAAAATTTTCAGAGTAAAACGTTTGGGGTTGCAAAGGTTAAAATCGAGGATGTTTTTAAACGTTTACCGTTTATTATTATAATGCATTAAATGCATAATTCGCTCTAAAGTCATACAATGCGTTCCCGTCAGTGCTGTCACTAGTACATGCATAAATTAAATCAGTTTTGAAATGAACTTGAATTTCACAAAACAGTTCACTGATCAAAAGCTACAGGAGTTCCAACCTAGAATTTCTTGTACATACATCTAATATAGAAAGCTATCGGTCCTTAAAGTTCTGGGGTGCGACTTTGTGCGATTAAGTTGATATGATTTTTGAAAGATGTGTCAAAAGTATTGGTTTTTTTGTAAATAACCGATTTTTTTTTCATTTAAACTAAAAAAATCAATAGCTTGAAAACCAAACGCTGCGATTTTGGCGTCTTGGTAAGATTTTTGTATTTTTGACTAATAAACAACTTTTTAGAATGAATTATTAAAAGTTACATTTTGAACATCAGTTTAGTACACGTTTAGTACAATTATGTTTTGATCGAAAGATGACGCCTTTTATTCCTAAAACCATTGCCCAAGACAAAGACTCACTAAAATGATTCATTTTAGAGTAATTAATTTCGTTCCACTAGATTGCATTCCTCAACCACTGTGCAATGTTGCATGCTGAGCATATCAGAAGAATATCAGCTTCCTAGTTAATTAATAACAAATTATCCTGACGTTCAATAAACTTGCTGAAGTTCCGCTGGGAACTTGTTCGGAACTTTGATGTGGTCATGTTTTCAGCTTTGCTGGAAGTTCCTAAGTATTGCTTAGGGAGGCTCTTTGGAACTTTTTTTGAACTTCAAGTTGCTAGGAGTACGCATCGGAACTTTTTGGATCCTGAAATTCCTCGTGTGCTTTCTATAGCTTATAAAGTAGCCAGAATGTTGTGTTGGAACTTTATGGAACTTGAAAGTTTGAGTTTTATCTTTGAATGCGTAACTTTGGTTTCAGAAAAACCAAACAATATCAAAATATATTGATTTTTGGTTCCACGTCATCCCGATTCCAAAAACAGTATTTTCAAGTTTTTTTTTTCAAACCGCAAGCCACCATCTTGGATGCCAAAATGGCATTAAACTCAGGTATGGATTTCCAGTCTACACGTCACCTCGATCCCAAAAATTCCCATACTGTGTATTTGACACTATTGGCCAATTCCCAAGATTCGCAAAAAATTCGTTATTTAGAATTTTCTTCGTAAAAAAAGCCCGGTATTTGGGAATTACTTCATAAGAAAATGTGACATAACTGAATACAGCATAAAAATGACTTTGTAATCGTGACGTTTTCTTATAATTACTTACATAATTACTCACAAGCACAAATGGCCCGAAGCCTTCACAATACCAGGTACAGCAAATAAAACGACTGTTCAACTCGGAAACTGAGCACAAAATTATTGAAATTGGGAATAGGGCACTCCTTCAAGGTCCTCTGGCCTGCATTTGATAAAACTCATTTTCCCGTAGACTCAAGATTCTCACCCCTAAATTCTGTATTCCGTTCGAAATGAATTTCTCACACAAAAAAAACGGAATAGTCAATAGGGGTGTCTATTCGGATTTTTGGTGGAGTTCAAGTTCAATTTAAAACTTCGTCTACCTAGATTATAGTTCATCATGAAGCCTCTAGTCTGACCAAATAAATAACACTCATATGTACTCCAGTGCTGGCAGATTTAACTTAATCAACAAGATATCTGAAATTAACCTTTCAAGACCATTCAAGAAGACTTATAAGGGCTCTAAGCTCAACCCGTAAGACCTCTGGTGTTGATTGATAATCCCGATACAATTGCTCCAAGAGAAATTAGTCTTAACTTAAAAGGATTCATGACTTGAACGGTAAGGCCTTCTGCGGAATGTCTGTCGATGGTATTGAGGCCACTCGATATGATTCTTATGGTCATTAGGCACGGCCCACAAGGCCAGTAAAGTAAACCAAAGGGTCAACCGGGGCTGGCATATAAAAACTCTGAAGTTCAATTACAACCATAACAAATTATATGTTTTGACTAACTATCGTCTATGGATCGTCTATGACCTTGAGATATTCGGAGTTAACCGATGAGACATCTAGAATTGACCTAGACTTATCACGTAAGACTACGACTGTCAATTGACTGTGTATCTCTTAAAGACTTTCGCAAACCTCTATTCCTGCAGTCACTATTCTGTTCGTTGGATCGTTCCATCTATATTGACCCATTATGTTCATCTATTTTAAGGTTATGCCAGAAAGCATGTTTATCAACAACAACAAAACTAACTCCCAAAAAACATCTATTTACAGGTGGCAATGAACCCGAAGAACACCGTTTTCGATGCCAAGCGTCTGATCGGCCGTCGCTTCGACGACCAGAAGATCCAGGAGGACATGAAACACTGGCCGTTCACCGTGATCAACGATGGCGGCAAGCCCAAGATCCAGGTGGAATTCAAGGGCGAAACCAAGCGCTTTGCACCGGAGGAGGTCAGCTCGATGGTGCTGACCAAGATGCGCGAAGTCGCCGAAGTGTACCTGGGCGGAAAGGTAGCCGATGCGGTCATCACCGTGCCGGCGTACTTTAACGACTCGCAGCGTCAGGCCACCAAGGATGCCGGAGCGATCGCCGGGATGAACGTTATGCGGATTATCAACGAACCGACGGCTGCGGCGCTGGCATACGGGCTGGATAAGAATTTGAAGGTTAGTTATCTATCGGAACTTTCGAGTGATCACCTAATGTGCTTTCCATCATATTCCAACAGGGCGAGAAGAACGTGTTGATCTTCGATCTGGGCGGTGGTACTTTTGACGTCTCGATCCTGACCATCGACGAGGGATCGCTGTTTGAGGTAAAGTCTACTGCTGGCGATACCCATCTGGGCGGCGAAGACTTCGATAATCGCATGGTGAACCACTTTACGGAGGAGTTCAAGCGTAAACACAAGAAGGACATGAGCGGTAACATCCGTGCTCTTCGTCGACTCCGTACGGCTTGCGAGCGAGCCAAGCGTACTCTGTCGTCGAGCACGGAAGCATCGCTGGAGATCGATGCCCTGCACGATGGAATCGACTTCTACTCGAAGATTACACGTGCTCGTTTCGAAGAATTGTGCATGGATCTATTCCGCTCGACGCTGGCTCCGGTCGAACGAGCTCTCACCGATGCCAAGATAGACAAAGGAGCCATTCATGACGTTGTTCTGGTTGGAGGCTCCATACGAATTCCCAAGGTCCAGAAAATGCTGCAGGACTTCTTCTGCGGAAAGGCATTGAATTTGTCCATCAACCCGGATGAAGCGGTTGCGTATGGGGCTGCGGTTCAAGCTGCAATCCTCAGCGGTGACGGAAGCTCCCAGATCCAGGATGTCCTTTTGGTGGACGTCACTCCGCTTTCACTGGGAATCGAAACTGCCGGAGGCGTCATGACCAAGATCATCGAACGCAACTCCCGTATACCGTGCAAGCAGCAGCAGACCTTCACGACATACAGTGACAATCAGAATGCGGTAACGATCCAGGTCTTCGAAGGCGAACGTGCCATGACCAAGGACAACAACCTGCTGGGAACGTTTAACCTGACGGGGATCCCACCGTCTCCACGGGGTGTTCCCAAGATCGAAGTTACATTCGACCTGAACGCAGATGGTATTCTGAACGTTTCGGCCAAGGACAACAGTACCGGTAAGTCGGAGAAAATCACCATCAAGAACGACAAGGGTCGCTTGTCCAAGGCCGATATCGACCGAATGCTGTCGGAAGCGGAAAAGTACCGGGAGGCAGATGAACGTCAGCGTGAGAAAATCATCGCCCGAAATCAGCTGGAGAGCTACATCTTCAACTGCAAACAGGCAGTAGAGGACGCTTCAGCCGAGAAGCTTTCCGATTCGGACAAGAAGACGGTTAAGGACAAGTGCGCGTCGGAGATGTCCTGGTTGGATGCGAATACGCTGGCGGAGAAGGACGAGTTTGAGCATCACCTGAAGGAGTGTCAGCGTGTTTGTGGACCGATTATGGCCAAGATGCACCAAGGAGGTGCCGGAGGAGGTGGCGAAAGTGGGGCTTCCTCGGCCGGCGGAAAGGGACCAACCGTTGAGGAGGTGGATTAAGAGGGGACTTACAACGTTCAAACTAACATTAGGTTCAACCCTGGCTGCATCCAGAACACTGCACTAACCATGTTACCGGCGCTTATTTGTTTGGGTATGCTTTAATATTTATGCATTTATAATAAGGTATGGCGAAAATCGAATAATAAACTACATTCTGCATGTATCGGGTTCGAAATTTAATTCGCAGAGAAATGCCCTTAAATCGGAGCAGGCAGGGTTCCATTCGCAGTTCAATTTAAGCATGCCGCGATGTATAATTTGTTTTTTATGTTTGTACAACCCTGTCCTTGTACTCGGTAACGGAACAATCGCTTTCGGAAAAAAGGCGAGGAGCCACATTCAATTTTCGACCGTTGCTGTGTGCAGTGCAGGAGACCTCTGTGACCCGTGTTTTGTGTTGTGATCGTGCGAAGCAGTGATGGGCACCCTGAGCAAGTACTTTTACGAGGCAACTCGAGACAAATCGTGCCGGGATATGCTACATCCCGGTTATACGTGCTACGAAGCGGGAAGAATCTACATCCGGCAGGGCATTGTGGGTGCCATGCGACACTACCTACCGGGAACGGTGGTAATTTGTGAACCATATGCAACAGATACATATATGGATTGACCTTTAACGGGTCGAAGAATTTAATGTGGTGTTCAAATTTCTAATCGAGCTACTGTTCTGTTATCTATTTTGACAACTCAAACATAGACGGCGCTGCTTTTCCGAATGAACCAGTGGGATGATCCGGCGGTGTGGAAGAATTTTGTGACGCAGTATGCTTGGTGTATCATTGCTGGGCTACCGATGACGGGTGGTAGTTTCCACTTCTTTTGTGGATTTTAGTGAGTAGAAAAGTCATTACAATGGATTCACAAATGATATCTTCACACACTTCAGCAAATTACAGAAAAGGCGCTAGTTTCCATCGAATATCGCTCGTTGCGCTATCTTTAAGTGGGCTAAGTTTTAGTTGAAGTCCAGTTAGTTGAGCTGTAGCCCACCTGAATCGAAGTCAAACGTCATTTCTGACAGTGCTGATTCCTTTTCGAGGGACGAACAATTTGGATAGTTGTTAAACGGTTTTGATGATAATAAACCAAATAACGAAAGCCTTTCACTAAGTGGGCTATGGGTTACGCTCTATTGGTTTTTCTCTAACGTCTGTTTATTTTCTTAATAGATTCAACACTGCCGATAAACGCATAACTGTCGAAAACTTTGCATGATTTCCTATTCCAATGGGACTGTTATGCTTTCAAGGGAAGGCAGGTATTTCTAGCCACTCATTCCAATGCCTTCTAATATTGAACGCCTAAAGAGACGAACCAGCTGTCTCTATAATAAAAATAAACATACATACATACACACTTAAAGTTTTTTGGCGAGATTCAAACAACCAAGTAGTTCTACAATTTATTTTGTTAAGATTCAGTAAAACAATTGCCGAGACTCAGCTAGCAAATTTGATTTTTGTTGAGATCGCTGCTTCAAACATATATTTTGCAAAGATATCAGCAAAAATAAATGCCGAGGTAATCGGCTGTTGGAGATTTTCCCGAGCTAGATTGGTTGTGTACATATTAAACGCCTAGCTTATAATGATGTTTCCATTGTCCACTACCAATCGATCAAAAGTCAATAACGCCACCTTTCCCTTTTCAGCAACCTGCTCGGCCGCTTCTCGGCACCGTTCTTCGTCTTCATCCCATCCTTCCTGGGTGCCTGTACATGCAAGTACCTCCCTCGGCCGATAGTCCACGCTCAAGGCATCGGACTCTTCAACATGGTAACGCCTCTCTCTCTCCCTCCCACGTACCAATTTCAACGCTTGCCCTTATTCTTCCACAGTACATCGAATTCCTGATCCGTCGACTGAGGGGAAAGACGACCGAAGTCCTTCGCGCATCCAGACTCGCCGGGACACTTCTCTTCAGCATGTTCAGCGCCGCCATGCTACCGGCTCTCGAGTATCTGCAAATCAACCGCTTCTGGTTCGCCAGCATCTACCGGAAACGCAACGACGACGACGGGACGCGGAACAATCAACTATGTTCGCATCATCCGAACAGAACCTGTTCGGAACACGTCACCATGCAAGTCAAGAAATCCTTCTACTTCGGACTGGCAGTATGCTTGATTAAAAACGCTCTACCCCGGATCACCATGGCATTTAGAAACCCGGTCCAATTCTTCCGGGTGATCGCCACCCGCTTTGATTACGGACTAATCGGATTTTTCACCTGCTACAAAGCGCTGTACGAGTTCTTCAACTGCTATCTGATTCGAAACAGCAAACTTGATCCACTGGCTCGTGCTACCATCACCGGATTCATCAGCGGCACTGCCTACTGCCTCTATCCGAACTATCTACTGTTCACTTACCCCATATCGGAGCTGATCGAAGTGTACTGGTTGGTGTACATGAAGTCCAACCTACCTAAACCCTGGATAGCTAACGCCATCGATCGATTGCCAACGGTTCTTTTCATGTACGCCTTCAGCCTGGGCATGATGTACCACCTGAGGGTAGTCTACCCTTACCACACCAACCAGTACTGCCACAAACTGATGAACATAGGAACTACGGGACGTTCGGAAACGCTAGCACGCGGTTATGCCGAGATCATGATGGGTTACAGGGACTAGGAGTTCTGTTAATCTTTTGTTCGTTTATTGCGTTAATAAATCAAATGTTGACTCTCGCTGCAGCATCCAATCGAATCACTTCTCCATTGAGCATGGGGTTCTCCACAATCGCTTGTACCAGTTGGGCAAACTCCACGGGTTGACCCGGCCGTTTTTGGAAACGGAATGGTACTGATGATACATTTCGTCAACCCTTTCGGCAGCTCGTCGGTCATTTTGGTTTTGAACAAACCGGGAGCGATCGTAACCACTCGGATGCCTTGGCTGCTCAAATCTCGAGCAATCGGTAGGGTCATTCCGATGATGGCTGCATTCGATGCCCCGTAAGCCGTCAGTCCCGTCTGGACATCGAAGCCGTGTTGACGATCACTCCTCGTTGTCCGTTGCCATTAGGGTCATTTTGACCAATGACGCCGGCAGCTAGGCGAATCACGTTGAAAGTTCCGAATGTGTTGAGATTCAAATTTGCTGAAACGAGCTAAGACTATGGTCGTACGCGTCTCGGGGAATCCAATCGCTGCACAGTTAATGACGACGTCTAACCGGTCAAAACGATCCTACACGGATAGAAATTTCCTTATACCTTTTGGCAAATTTCTATTGCTGATTATTCATAAAATGTATAAGTCAACTAATAAGCAGACGCCTTGCAAAAAGTTAATGAAGCTCATGTGTCAAATGAAATGTATAAGCGGCCACACATACCTTTTATGCATTCCTATAGGACCTATGTGGTTGGCCTTATGGAATGTATAAGGCTGATTCTTTGGCAAAAATGTATAAGTGAAACACATGAATAAAATAATTGATTTTCGTTTCGTGTAGGTTAAATCGAGGGCGTTGGTCACATCTTGCTTCGATGAGAGCTAAAAGCATCGCATTGCAGAATTGGTCAGATTATACAGCAGTAATAGCTACTCACATCCGTCGGCACGAGTATCGCATTATTTCCCAGTTCCGCAGTGATCTTCTCATATTGGACGACGGTAGATCTGCTAGGACAACTGGCCCGAACAAGTCGTTCAACGGTGGCAAATCCCAGCCCGAATGCACCACCCGTTATCAGATAAACGGCATTCTGCAGCAGAGATTAGAATTGACCGTTAGATAAAAAATAATTTCGATGAAATAATTGCAACCAAACCTTTAACATGCTTCCAAAGTGACTGCTTGAAAATACTAAGACGTGTTATCGCAGGGCGGCGGCGAGATAACCACAGGTCGAAATAAAATAATTGCGTTACCTTTACGCTTTGCAGCGATACAAAGAGAAGATTATTTTAGTTAGGTAGCCTAGCTGAATTTGAAAAGAAAACATGCATTCAATTGTACTGGGTGTGATGATTACACAGGTTTTCAGAGAAATACAATACTAAAGCGGTCAGATTATGGTATTTGAAATATTTCTATTTCTAGATTGATATAAAACGTCATCATCACATTCATTGTGCCATTTTATGTACGATAACGACGTTCGATAGTATTTCATTCGAAATGATGAGCAGAACAATCTCTTCTTCTTCTTCTTCTTCTGGTTATGGGTGTTGTCAAAACAACCCACTGATAAATGGCACAGCATTTTCGCTATAACGCCAGTCGGTTTTTCATTGGGAGTAGCTTTTTTGTTTGTGTTGTCATTTGAATCAGTGCATTACAATCTTATAGCATTATATGTTTAGACTGATTTCCTTAAGAAACTTACATATATCTTTCAGAGTATCAATGTTTTTGTCATCGTATGCTTCTTGGATTGAGTAATATTTATCAAGGTTGTGTTTATCTCTGGGTATTAGATATTTTATACAGTGGAAAATTATGTGTTCAGAGGTGTTTAAACAGTCGCATAATTGGCAGTACATCTCATCTTTAATTTTCATCCTGCTGAGCCAGAACGGCGAATAATCGTGACCGGATAGCAGCCTGTTGAGTGTTCTTACTTCGGAATTGGTTAGCGGCAGGTTGTGGTACCATGATTTCAAATTTATTCCTGTTTGAAATTTAAAGAACTTCCTTCCTTTGCCATGTTCCTGTGTGTAGTTAACATACCATTGTTGAATATTTTCAGTGATATCGCTTTTAATCCAATTGATGGCATCGTGTGGTAATATCCGATTGTTGGCTATTTCTTTCGTATGGAGTGCAGCTTTCGCCAGTCTATCTGCAATCTCATTTCCTTCCAGGTTCACATGTCCTGGGATCCATTGGATACAGGTGTTACTTATTGATGCTTTTTCAATGATGGTATGTATAACTTCGTCTCTTTCAGTTGATTCAAGTTGACTTTTTATGAATTCGCATCCCGACTTCGAATCGGTGAGAATTACAGCATTTTCGATTTGATTCCTTTCCACGTATTGTAACGCCACTACAATTGCTTCTAGTTCCGCTGACATCGTACATACAGTGTGTTTCAGCTTCAAGCTAATCTTGCATTTGTTACTCTCATCGAAAATACCCACGCCGCAGTGTTCGTCGTCCTTCGACGCGTCCGTATAGATTTTCCGGCAATCCTTATATGGTCCGTGTATTTTCCCCAAAGCTAGTTGTTTTAGTGTTTTTGCGGATGTGTTCCTTTTGGTCCATGGCTTATTGTCCAATTCGGTTTCGACTCGTATGGTTGTTGATATTGGTTGAATCAATACTGTATGCGTGACCTCGTTGAAGACATGTTTGTAATCCTCGAAAATCTCTTCTTGGAAAGTTAACTTATGTGTTGTTGCATCGTTGGATACATTCAACTTTTGTAGTTGTGACCAGACCGGAGTCAGAAATTGTGCGTGTCTCACTATTTCTTTAGCCGTTATCAACTTTCTACGAAATTGTAGGGGAGGTTGGCTAGCTATAGCGCATAAAGTATTAATTGGTGTGGTTTTTGAACATCCTGTAATCTTTCTCAAACACGTGTTGTTGGTTATCGTGAGTTTTTCCAGGCTACATTTCGATGTGTTTGCATACACAGAAGCACCATATTCTAAGTAGCTTCTTACTATTGCATTGTAAAGAAGGCTTAGAGTTTGTGGGTGACCACCACACTTCGTGCTGCTTATTACCTTCAGCATGTTGATTCTGTCAGTAGCGCGACTCTTAACTTCTCTGATATGGGCTCCATATGTTAGCGATCGATCCAGTGTAACTCCTAGATATTTGTAGGTGTTTACTGTTTCCAAGTCCGTGTTTCCTATACTCAACTTTAATGATTTTTTGTTCCGTTGAAATAGCATGACTTTTGTTTTGCTTTTGTTTATTTTCAGGTTCAGTTGTTCCGATTTCTCCTTGAATTCATCTACAAAAGTCTGCGCCCGGTGTTGCACAGTTTCAACGTTTTTACCTTTTACGATTGCCATGAAGTCATCAGCATATTGAACCAAAATCACTCCATCTGTTGTTCCATTGTGTAGTTGTGCCGTGTAGATGTTGAACAATATTGGTGACAAGACATCCCCTTGAGGCAGTCCATCTTTTACTTTCCTTTCTAGATGTTGTGCGCCTACCTGTATTTGAATGGTTCTGTCGAGGAGAAAGTTTACTATCCAGCTTGTTAGTTCCAGTGGAGTACCGTATTCGTAAAGCACTTGTTCAAGTGTCCCTGTTTTAACGGTATTGTATGCATTAGACATATCTATGAAGATCGCCGCTGCAACGCTACCTTCTCTTTTAATAGAGTTTAGGCTGTTGATGACGTAGTTCAGACATGTAGTAGTGGAGTTGTGCCTTCGAAAACCAAAAGATGTTTCTGGTAATATTGCATTACTCTGTATGAATTGATTTAGCTCAACTAAAACTGCCGTATTGATCATTTTCAATGAGCAGTTAAGCATAGAGATCGGCCGTAAGTTGCTGATAATTTCTGGATTTCGTCCCGGTTTTGGAATTGCAATCACTTTAATTCTGTTCATATTTTCATCAGTTCTTCCGCATTTCCACATTCTATTGAGATCCTCGATTACGCTGTCTCGAACATCAGATTTTAAATTTCTCAGCATTTCATAACTGAGACAGTCCGGGCCTGCCGCAGAGTGTTTTTTCTTCTTGTTCAAAATTTCGTACCATTTTTCGACATTCAATATGTCATAGGTTGCCTTCGCGCTGAAGTTTGCATCGTAATTGTCACTAAAAGGGAAGTTATCATTCAGGAATTGAATTGCTGCCTCTTCGTCTTCATGTGCGATCGTGGGCTGATTCCGTTTCTTCTTTTTTCCGGTTAAGTTATTTATTTTCCTCCACAATTCTTGGCTGCTCGTACTTGGATCAATTTCTTTGACATAGTCTTCAAACTTCTCTCGCATGAATTTATTTTTGCTCTTTTTGAAAATTCCTTCACGTCTTTTCATCTCCATTAGATCATCTAGTGTGCCACTACGGTTGAATTTGGTCCTAGCTTCGTTTTTACTTCTCCATGCATCTTCTATTTCCGCGTTCCACCAAAACTTTGGCTCATACCGGTTCTTCTGCTTCGCGTTTATCATAATTCTTCTTGCCTCCTGCTGTAGTGCTGCTAGTCCTTTCACCTGATTCGTGTCCAGCTTCCCTACTTCTTCCATAACTTTCTTCCGGTTGACGAAAAATCTGTTAGGCGATACTTGATCGTTCGAGATTGCTATGTGTATAATTAGATGTCTACTGCCTATTCCGTATTGCAATACTTCCATCTTCGTATCATGAAATAGCCCCGGAGATACCAGAACTAGATCAATTACAGAAGGCTTTTTGTTTAATTCCGCTTGAATAAATGTCGGATCGCCATTGTTCATCAAAATTATGTCCTCGTCATTGATGATGTCGAACAAAACTGCTCCTTTTGCATCCGAATGATGTTGATCCCATAAATGGTGATGTGAATTAAAATCACCTCCGATTAATACCTTTCTGAAACCTTCAACGCATTTGAACAGTTTCGTCAAGAAGTTTTTCAATTCGTACGCCGATGTGCTAGGTGCAACGTATATCGAAATTACCGCTAGATCCATTTTGGTTATATATCTGCCTACACATTGTATATTCTCCGTCGAATCTAATTCAATTTTCCTACTTTTAACTGCTTCATGTACAATAATCA